GTTGTTGCCACATAAAGGCGGAGCTTCGCAACCACTGGCGAATGGTCAGATCCGCACCTCGTTTCACCAGAGTATCTTCGAGGGCGTTTTGCCATTTGTCACTGATCAGCTCGTGATTGATTTGCCTTTTGAAGCGATCTCCTGGCGCCGTGCACTTCTATTAACGGGTGACGAGGCTGTGCGAGGCGAAAAGTTCTAACACTGCCATTTTGACTTAACACACGGGCTTGCTTTCATTGTCTGCGTTGATCGGGGTATGGAGATTGCCGCTGACGATCGAAAATGGATGTCGCAGGAGAGAGCCATGAACCGCACGAAAGCAAGCGTAGAAATAGTCCTTCTTCGGATCCTCTGGAACGTTGATTGAGGCAGGCACAGCGAAAACAACGTTCTTCGTAACATGTCTCATTGTGAATCGAAAACGATGGCACAGTCGATCGTGTATTCAGCGGATAGCTTAGCGTTCACTGCTCGTGGGGGGGGGGAGTTAGCAGGGGAGGAGAGCAGTATAACTGCAACTCCAGCCTCGCGGCGAGAGGTTTGGTTTTCAGACCTGTAAAACTGCCATCCACATGCAAGCCGTTGATGCCCTTGGCCCGGTAAATGACTCCTGAGAGTACCAAAATGTCCTGCTTGAATCACACTGCGATGAGAGTGACGTCGTCCAGTCCATCATCGTTCAACGTAAGCATATTACAGCAGGCGACAGGTAGCCCTTCCATGTAAAGGCCAAGCTTATGCAGGTCAAATTTTTTGGTGGAATAGTTTGAACCGTCATGGCACAGTGGCACGCAACTATTCACGGCTGCGAACAAAGGATAACGATGCTATAATGCGATGTACCTACATCATCAAAGGTGCCATAATGCGACTCAGTCATAGTGTGCATAAAGACTTCCTCTAAGCCTCCAGAAGCACGGAGCGGTGTTGCTACATCACATAAATCCGGAGAGGTAACATGAGACTGCTGAAGCAACCCCTGTCTATTCTCCTATTATTCCCTACTAACCATGCAATTTCCGTATAACATGTTTATGACAAAAAAACCTAAACTTTCTAAACCGAATTCTTTAAATTATTCGAAATGATCCAGTGTGTCTACATGCTGACCGCCCGGCACGTCCCCAGGTTCTTGATATAGTGGCTAGCTGCAAAAATATGCAGTCGTGGATAGGCAGCGGCGAATCCACCAGGGAGTGGCTAGACTCGAGCTCGACAACCCATTCCTAGAAAGAAACCACAATTTGTAATGACAAGCGCATGATGAGGGGAAAATAACCTGCCCCTTTGAAGCAAAACATCCCCAATGTCATCTTTGTCTCGCTGTTATCGTCGGCTCATCAAAGGCTGAGAGAGAAACTGTTATAAAATCCCCGTCGGATATGGGGGACCCATCTTCGCGAAATTCTCCAGGCCACCATCAGCCTTGCCAGTGGGTGGTAAAACTTCATACGATATGACAACACAGCGTTTTGCGACTGGAGTGAGTTGTCGCTCAATATCGGCCAGTCCAGGTGATTCGAAATGGGCGCAGCTCATACTTTCTCTATTCTAGTGAGCCTAGAAGTCTAATGGCGCAAGTGCAGGTTGCAGACCGAGAGACGACCCCCATATATAGGGCTCATTTGGACAGGCAGCGGTGGGTGATATCGCAATATGGCAGGGGACAGATTCGGCAAACCAACCACTCATAAAATGGCCATATATAATCCCATGACGATCAATGACGAGGCGAGAGAGGCTCCCGTAACAAGGTCAAAAATGCCACTTCTGCTCTGCGTGTATAATTGGAAAGGACAAATGCTAAAAGAAGCAACTTCGAAAATAAATCAGGCAGCCGTTAGAAACCCATCTCCATCAGCCAACCCACAAACGACTACGAACTCTAATAAATTTTGAAATTCCACAAAATTAGTCCTCATATTTCGGCATCCACAGTAACT